AAAAAAAAAAAAAAAAAAAAAGAAAGAAAAACAATATTAAATATGTATTATAAGAAACTATCTTTAAATTCGTAATAAATGAATCTTAAATCAGTTTCGCATACCGAGTCGATGAAAACAAGCATTGAAAAAAACGACCTCGATAATTAGCGCAAAAACTTCGAAAAAAGCATGCAAAGAAATGTAACTATGTACGTTAGAGAAAGTCAGGCAATTTAATGGCTAATAACTAAAAAATAAATATTGAAAAAGAAATGTAAAATAAATACTGAAATAAACTTCCTTGATCTCCACATTACAATTTGATTATCAATAACACGATTGTTCTATTATCCGAAAATTTTCTTAGCCGAACACTTTTGCCTCCCTAATTAGTTCTGGTAACGGTTATATTAGAGTAGCGATAAACGGTGTGAACGTAAATATATTCCAGTATTCAAATATTCTATTGACCGAACGTTAGTTTAAATTCTATTGTGATATAACAGACATACTTTCCAAGAAGAATTTATCGTAGATTTCAATTCAAAAACTTACACACACACATACACATCGAATATTAATAAATACCTGATAAACTAGAAGACGGTGAATTTAATGTATATTTTCTTTGAAATGAAGAATTTTTCCAGGGTGACGAACGAAATTCAAATGGCTTGGTGCTTAATATTTTCGGTGGACTCGTGTGTTTGTTTAAGTACCAATCCGGAATTGACAGCCTTTGAAGAGATCGTTGGACCTTCAATTCCGCTTCCGTTAATTTTCTGTTCTATTGAAGAGAAATAAAAAAGAATAACAACAAAATATTCAAATTTATTACTATCTACATCTTTAATAAAAAATCACATGAAAATAATTTCCTTTGAGGGATTCTTCGACGTATCATAGATTACAAATTAATTGATTTCATATGTATAAATAATATATAAAAGAAAATTACGTAAATTAAAAGAAATTAAAATTGAATTAAGCTGAATTAAAAATTAAGTAATAAGAATTATTACAAATTATATAAAAGTTAGAGAAGAAATTATATAAATTACAATTGAATTGAAAATTGTGTAAATTGAAAATAAGATCAATAGATTTTGGAAAATTTGGTTAATATTTTAGCTCCTTTAACTTCTTTAGTTATATTATTATGAATGACGTTTTCGTATCTTATGAAAGTATTTAGATTTTCCAAAATCTAAAAATCATGCACAAACTACGTGGATCGAAGTAATTTTTCATTAATTGTATCACGTAAGAGCGGTCCATTAAATATCTTACAAAATATTCTCTTTTTTCAAAGTTTCTTTGAAATTTTCAAATCAATTTTTTTTTTTTTTACATATATACATACGTATAGTTATAAAAAAAAAGAAATACGTTAAAATAATTATAACACTGTACAACACTCTACAACAACCTTGAAATGACCTCGAACGCCGAAAATTGAAGTTGAACTAATTAAATTAAATTTGAAATTCATATTTGTAGAAAACGTTAGCTGTCAGGAGAACGCTTTGAACATTTATAACATGTTAAATTAAATAAAATGAATGATATCCAAGTTTCTTGATCAAGTCATTTGAATATTCTTCGTACCATGAGAGAAACATTTTCATTACATTTCATTATTCCATTTTCGCGTCTTTAACCAGTGACCTTCATGTGAATTTCAAATTCAACTCCAACATTTCGTTGTTGGAAATTCATGTTATTTCACACAATTTATTTTCATATCAGTTATACGATTCAGCAACGAATGAAAATATATAATTAAACGGGAAAAGTATAACTTTTCTTGCAGTATATTACTCTTCATATCATTTTAATACCATCCAAATTACTAGTAGAAAATATCTTCTTTATCGTGATCATTGAATAGTTTATTCACGACAAATATAATCACTGATAATCACAAATATATAAAATTTATAAAATCAAACTTACACATTTATCGTCGGTATGCAGCATATTGCTTCTGATCCACGCTGCTGACGTTGCCATTTCCAATTAATGTACAAATCAGAATTACTCTCCACAAAAAAAGAACAAGAAAAAAAAACGATGGAGAAGACGAAAACTACGAATATAAATTAATTTTATATACAGTTCAATTTTGATTGTCAAACTCTAAACGAATGTTTAGGAAACAGGATGTTGAAGGCAGTCTTCCCAAATTTCCAGTACGGAGCAAACCTTCTGCTGAAGTCGACGTAAACAAGGAACACGATGAAATGGTGTGCCAACCCTTACGAACTTGTTAATATACCGGCAATATGCCCCCCACTCCTGAAACATGAACAATGAATATGAAATTCTTATTCCTGAGAGTATAGTTATTTGCAATGTGCAGAGATTATCCTGATCCTGGAGATTTCAAGCCTGCAAATGAAGAATGAGGAAGCCGAACCAATCCGAAAGGTTTTCACGAAGGTTTAAGGTAATAAACCTTATTAGGATTGTCTTTTCTAAAGTGACAAATTTTCATGACAAATCTCACCTTCCATGGGTATTCCATGGCCTTTTATGACAAATTCACCTTCTATGGACCTTCCACGACAAAGCGACTTTCCTTCGGTCAACAAGTAAAATTCAATCTTTATTACCTTGGTAATTTTTCTACGTGAAGATTTACAAATGTTAAGTTTAACAAATGTTAAGTCGATGCTGGCATGGTTCGAAACCAGGCATGGGCAATACTCGAATGATATATTATAAGGCTTTCTCGGAAGACGAAAATTTTGCTTCTCGATGTCTGAACTTCACAACTCCTCGTAATGCAAAAATCAGAAAATTTTAATTCGCAAAGCATATGGTCATAATCAGTGATGAGAAAAATGGTGAACTCAGAATCGTTTATTCCCCGTTTTTCAAAAATAATGACTCGAATCAAATACAATCTAGCTAAAAAATATAATACTTTCGTTCGATTCATTTCATTTTTGAAATATATTATACAGGAACTCATTTTGCATTATTTCTAAGAAATGATGCAAATTTGGAAATAATTTATTTTTCAAATAAGATATTCAAATTTATTTGCATTCGTTCTTACTTTCTCAATAAATTTATTTCTTGCTTTATTTGAATCCTGCTTCGAGACAGATTTGTTATTATAATACCGACATAATGCTCTAATTTTACTATTTGGAAAGATGGTATAATTCAACGTTCGCACAATGTTTTTATGATTGCTATGAGTTTGTAATTTTGATTGAAAGTCAATTTTAAAATGAATTCAGGATAAATTAGATCAAATGAAGTTCCTATATAAATTAACTACGTAAGATAAGATTCGATAAGAAAATTAAGAACATTATTTTATACATTTAAAATGAAACTGAGTACCATATTGAACTCTTCTTTTAAGTCTTCGTAAAGTTTGTACATCGTAGGATAAGAAAGAAAGTAATTGTAGTGGAGAAAGTTCACGATGCTAGATGAATAAATACGGTCACTGAATTTGCTACATGCAATAAAAACGTCTACCTGTTTGTTTTCTTAAATTTTGTTTTGTTAAATTCATTTGTGTCGACGTTGTAAATTGAAATCAATTAGTTCTTCAGCTAATATTTATCACACCTCGTTAAATAAACATTCGCATAGATACTGAATGCATCTTACAGTCTTATATAAAATTATTTATGTATAACAAATAGTTAATAAAGTACTTGTTCTATAATTATATTCAACGAAAGCAATTTGCATGTAACAGTTAGATATTTCCAGTTAATAGCTCTGATATTCAATTAAGATTATCGTGTCTGTCTCCGTTAAAAAGTGTTTACACGCATTTGCATACGCATGCGACTCGAACGCCTGTGCAACATCTTGTTCAACCTTGTTTCACCACAAAAAGTGATAATAAATGAGCGGAAAAGTTCGTAATATTTAGCGGATAATTGATAATTACATGCGTAAAGAGTCATTGAGGGAAATAACCTGTTAGATGTTTTCCTGAGTTCGTAGTTCGTATAATTACAGGTGATAGTAGTATCATATCAAGTACAAAAATAAGTAGTATCCACAGTCCGACAAATTTTATTCAGTTTCTTTTTTTCCTTTTTTTTTTTTTTTCAATTTTTATAGTGATGAAATAGTCATCTCTGGCAGATTTTTACGCGTATCGTATTTTCCTCTAATTATTTAAAAAATATCCTTAAAAAATATTTCGATACTTTATCTGGTTTACTGATTAATAATATTCTAACATCTATTGCAATGATAAATATTATTATCAATTTCTTCACATTCTTCCGTCGTTTACCGCAGTTTGAATATTTAAATATGTTCTTTAATCTTCAATATCGATGTTCAGTTTAGTTACCAACAACTCGTTGGTAATAATTCGTTTAAAAAAGAAAGAATAATAAAGGAGAGCTACGCAGTTTCATCCACATAATTTTTTCCCACAGTGAAGTTTTTTTTCTAATCTTTCTCTGGGCGTTCGCGTAATTTAATTTTTAAATTAAAAAGTTAAAGTCATTCAGTGCATCCTTCTGAAACAACACACCGTAGTGCTTCCACCAGAGCAGCTAATTCAAACCAAGCAATGGAGGGAGAGACTACAAAAGTGGGGAGTTCACTTGGGTTAGATACATACTATAGTTTCATTTCCTAGAGGAGTACTCCAAACACTCCACCGCGGTCTTGTACCTCCGCGAACGTTCCATCTATCAAAAGTGAAATAATTGTTATATTTCACCGAATGACAAGTGTTGTAAAATACTTGGTACAATAGTAATATTATCGAATCGTTGAAAAATCATATGCAATATGATCCAGTGTAATTAGTGAACATTTTATTCATGTTGAAGAAGTTACCTGGCGCAGTAACGGGACCAATCCAGGTAAGAAACAGCAGGTAAGAATTTTGATGAATGATCATAAATGGCAGACGGTCAAGAATGTTCCTCGCAAAATTGCTTGCATACCTGATGGAAAATCGTCGATACTCTAAACTGCTATTTCGCTGAAAGAAAATTGTACGATAATTCGATCGATCTAAATTGATCTAAATAAGATTTTTAAATTCATTTAAAAATTTTAATTCTGACAATTGTAAATTCGTTCCTTCTTTTCGACGTTTGTCGACAAGCAACAAGATACGTTTGTCATCGAAAATTCAAGTTGCTGAAAAATTTTCATGATGTAAAAAAATTATTTTTTAGAAAAAGAAAATAAGAAACACAAAGAGAACATTTAAATCTCAATGAACACAAAGATTGTACCATGTGCGTGGGAAGTAAATTTAAAGGAAAAAAATGAGAAATAATTTGGAAATATTTTTCATTTTGTTTCTTTAATATTTTATATTATGTAATATTTAGATGTAATGTAATTGATCGTTAGATAAATAAGTAAATAATATTGTAAATAATATTGTAATATTTTTAGAATACTGTAACGTGTTTCAAATAGTGTTCGAAAAGAAACAAGATAATAATTGTACAGAATTATAGTATTGTAATCAAAGGGTAAGCAGAAATCACGAGACGTGAGAGTGAAAGTAAATTACAGCGAGTAAGTCTGCTTCTATGTACAACGAAGAAATTTGCTTGCTATCTTTTTCAACAACATTGATACCGTACCAAAGTTTATCCTTTTATTATTTATAGATTGTTATCATCAAGTAGAAATGATTAATTTTTTTATATGAAATATTTCTTAGAAAATCATTATCACTATGCAATATTTCTTAGAAAATCAAAATCGAATAATTATTAATTTTATTTTTATATCAGATAGAATGAAACTTGTTCCACAAATGATACGTCGATTTACGCAATCACGGAACGACCTTCGAAGAATTTTGTGTTCAGGTAAGAAGATAGCGATCATTTTCTCACTCGTATTAAACACCATTGCCATCTCGTCATCGTTATTGAAAAGCTATTATTATTATGGATGGTCGGACCTCGCGCAGCTATTTGCAATTTAAAAATCACATTTCTTTTGGATAAATGATATTTATCGTTCATAATACTTATGAACTATAATCTATGTTAAGTAATACTTATTTTTAAAAATGCACCAATTGATGTTAAGAATTATAGTTTTATTTATATTGTGAATATAGTTAGAGAAAAATATTTTTCATTCTAGATGATTTATTTAGTAATGTATTTAAAATAAAGTCTTCTTGTCTGTTAAAAATCATCTAAAATCTACAAGATTTTACAGATCTTGTAAATACTAGTATCACGTTTTGTAGAATTCTTCAAAAATTTGTGTTAACTTTATCCAAAACACAATTCATTTAATCTTCGTAACTTTGATACAATTGAACTTGTATATATTTTTCAATCCTATTCAGTTTAGCAAACGAAAAGGATTTATAACGTTTTAAGATGTTCAAACATAAATCTTCGTCGAAAAATTGTACGTGCTACTAAGAACTTCTATACACTTTTTGTATAAACTCGAGATGCTTTCTAATTAATTTTAAAGGCCACATAAATGGTCAATTTGGTCTAATTTTATGAAGTAAATGCAAGTGGAAAATGGACGAATAGCAGGAAAAAATTTCTCGCCTCAACTATAGTCGCAGTGACATTCATCTGAGACTCGAGTACACATGTGACTTTCATCTTCAAATTCAAGTCACATTCGTCTCGCACATTTTTTTCATTATTCATCGTCCACCTTTCTGCGTTTCGTGTAGATGCAGCGACCACGGCGAGTGACTGCACGATTGATCACGATGCAACGATGCAGGCAAAACCGTACGAGGATATACCAGGGCCAAAGCCGATACCAATTTTAGGAAACACCTGGCGTCTATTCCCGATAATTGGCCAGTACCGAATATCAGACGTGGCGAAATTGTCGCAGATATTTTACGACGAGTACGGGAAGATCGTCCGTTTGACTGGCTTAATTGGTCGGCCGGATTTGTTGTTCGTTTACGACGCCGACGAAATCGAGAAAATTTATAGGCAGGAAGGGCCGACTCCATTTAGACCATCTATGCCATGCTTGGTGCATTATAAAAGCGTTGTGAGGAAACACTTCTTCGGAACTCTACCTGGAGTTGTTGGAGTGTACGTAATTGGACGCAATGTACAATCCTGAACATAACTCTGTAACAAGACTTTGGATAACTTCTTTTTCTTCTTTTTAGTTCTTTACATATAACTTCTTTTGAATTCGGGCACCCTGTATAACATGAAATGAAAAAATGATATAGTGGATCGCTAATTCTGTGGTTGTAAGAAAAAGTGCATTTTACCTTCCAAATGTTATCCTTTATACGATCGAATTATGTTCGAATAACAAAAATATTTTGAATATCAGATACTATTGAAACAATTAGTTACGCAAAATAAATAATTAGACTTAGATGGAAGGTATTGATACGTATCAAAATTTTGGGTACTTGGCATGAATTTTTTATACTGATATATCTTGAATTTAAAAATACTTATAACACTAAATCAATATTTAATATCTCATGATACTTATATTTAATATCCATATGATATTTATATTGATATATATTGACACTTCAATGAATGATTCAACATTTCATTGAAACATGTTAATAGAACTTACATTATTTAAACATTAAAAAGAAATTACATTTAATCGAACAAAATGATGTAAAATGATCACGATATCTTCATATAGAATGTGTATCAATACTTTCGTGAGATGTCAAACGAATATCAATAGTTTCATAAAAGCATTAAACGAGTATAGATATTTTTGATACCGACATACAATATTTGATATAATATTATAATTTGTGGATTGATATTAATCCGATATCTGATCTAATCTATCACTAATAAATATACTTTTTTTTTGGATGAGAGTTTTAGAGCAATGAAATACATATATAGTTCTTTATAATAATGGTTACATTGTATGCGTTTTGTATACCTCAATTTCATCATAGTATTATCCTCTTTACTCATGTATACAATGTTTGCTTAAATAACCACAGCTTAAGACGAAGCACCATAACAGTCGTAGAGAATATGTCGTAAAGTAGATGCTGTGATCATTAACTTGTTAATTGAGAAAAAGAAGTTAAGAAAGTCATTATTCAGACTGTTCGACATTTTACATATACGTGAGCCGCGTTCATAGGCCAAAGTGGTAAACTTCACCTTTTTAAACTTTGTTTAAATCTTGGAGTCAAAGTAGTTGATCAAATACTTATAAATCTCTTTAATCATCAGACTGAACGCCATTAAAATTACAAAAATTTCATTATGGATTCAGGAGCCACCATGATTGTTCAAATATACTATTTTATGTATTATTTCATACATTTTGTAGATAAAGGCTAATAAGATATTCTATACAGTTGTTTATTTGAGTTTAGTCTTTTCAAAAGGGATTTTAAAGAAACATGTAGATTATACTTTGTGAAGTTAATCAATTTGACAAACGATCGGCTACGCATCCAGTAATCTTCTATTTCAAATATACATCATTATCCTTTTATATTCAAGGGAGAAGAAAATCAAATTGATTAATGATTTGATGTACAATGATCACCATTTTTTGTTTTGTTTCTAAACAATCCAATCAACTTGTTATCCAATTAACTTGTTAGATGCACTATTCAATCAATTGTAATACTAAAAAAGGTAAAAGAAAAATTTAAATTATTTCAATAGCGTTATTAATAATTTGTATACATCTAGTTTTGACCTTAATTTTGACCCTAATTTTAGAAGCTAATTGTCAATGCGAAAATCTAATAAACGTAATGAATGCATAAAACGATGATAGAAATAACTTATGCACACTAATTAGCATCGTCATAATTGTTTCGTTGAACTATACTGACATAGTTTGCTTAAATTGAATTTTAAGTCACGCACGGTGGTTCTCCTTGACCTTGAAACTATTCATAAGACCACAAGCACAAGGAATGAGGCAATGTGTACATAATAAAATATTTACACTTCTGTGCAGGCACGGCGAGCCATGGAGAAAATTTCGTACGAAAGTCCAGAAACCTGTCCTACAACCGCAGACAGTCAAGAAATACATAGCACCTATTGAAATGGTTACGTCCGATTTCATACAAAGGTAATCTAAGTCTTTCGTGCTAAGATTCTCACGAATCTTGCAGTTGAACTGCGCATTTTCTGCAAAAGAAGAAGATGTGAAAGTTTGCAAAACGCTATGTAAAATAAGTCCAAAGTAAAGCGCATTGTGATATATATATATGCGCGAAACAAATTTTATTTTTTTTTGTATCATTTGAATAAAAATGAATGAATTTACCTGAACATCCGCAGCTTACTTATAGCTTTGAAACTATTTTAATTGCTAAAGATCTTAAATCTTCGAATGGAAGTTTTTAATATCTTCTTTAGCGTCGATAAATATAAATAAATATGTAAGAATATGAAAAAGGTGAACACGCTTTGTGAAATATTCAAAAGGATTGCGCGACTTATGAAATCTCAGTATGAATTTGAAAAGCTGCATAAAAATTTGATTGACGACTCTTTTTAGAATTCAAGAAATTAAAAAAGAAGATGGAGAACTGCCAGCAGACTTTGATAATGAGATACATAAGTGGGCTCTGGAATGTGGGTATAAAAATGTGTATAATTTTTAATCATTTAAATCTACAATTTAATAAAATTAATAAATCTAAATTTATATACTAAATTTTTTGTAATTAAAATCTAAAATTATGTATAACTTTTTAATCTTTTAAAATTTAAAATGAAATTAGTAATCATTGGTTTAATTGTGTTGGTATATACAGGTATAGGTCGAGTTGCCCTTGACGTGAGATTAGGATGTTTATCAGGTAATCTCACACCAAACTCGGAACCACAAAAGATCATCGACGCGGCAAAATTTGCTTTGAGGAATGTAGCAGTGCTGGAATTGAAAGCTCCTTATTGGAGATATGTTCCTACCCCTCTTTGGTCACGATACGTACGAAACATGGATTACTTCATCGAGTAACTCAAATTTTATTTTTTACTTTCATTTAAAGTTTAACAAAAATAAGTAATTAATTTTAATTTCTCTGGTTTTTCAGGATATGCATGAAATACATCGATGCAGCGATGGAAAGATTGAGAACGAAGAAAGCTATCAACGAATTTGATTTATCTTTGATGGAAAGAATTTTAGCCAAAGAAACGGACCCTAAAATGGCTTATATACTCGCCTTAGATTTGATCTTGGTTGGAATAGATACAGTATGTAACAAAACGAATAATTTTTTGTTATATTACGTTATATAGAGTGTAAATATTAATGATACATTACAGATTTCAATGGCTGTTTGTTCAATATTATATCAATTAGCAACTAGGCCAGAGGAGCAAGAAAAAATTTACCAAGAACTTGTAGAAATTCTACCTGATCCATCTGTACCTCTTAATACAAATCATCTCGACAAGGCCATTTATATGAAAGCCTTCATTCGTGAAGTTTTTCGGTATAATTGATCACCTGACAAAGTTAAACAATCTCAATTTTATTAGTTAAATATTATATCAATATCAATCAATATTATATCTATTTCAATATATAAAATACTACACTAGAATATACTAAATACTACACTATAAAATACTACACTAGAATATACTAAATACTATAAAATACTACACTAGAATATACTAAATACATTCTAATCTAATTTTTTCATTAAAAAAATATCCTATTTGTTTTAGAGTATATTCTACAGTGATTGGAAACGGCAGAACATTGCAAAATGATGCTACAATTTGTGGTTACAGAGTACCAAAAGGGGTCAGTAATTTTACTATAAACATTTCTCAGGATTTAGTTCATTATAATATGTTATAATTATTACTTATTATTATTGCTACAGGTACAAGTCGTGTTTCCAACCGTAGTAACAGGAAATATGGAACAATATGTAACAGATGCAAAAACATTTAAACCAATGAGATGGCTAAAAGACTCATCTGACGAAAGTTTACACCCTTTTGCATCATTACCTTATGGCTATGGCGCACGCATGTGCCTAGGTAGAAGATTTGCCGATTTAGAAATTCAGGTGCTGCTTGCCAAGGTATGATCGTGCTACTACTGTTTGTAGCAGACATATATATTGTCTAGTCCTACATATGAATAATATTGATTTTATTCACTTTTTAGCTGATAAGATCTTACAAGTTGGAATACCATCATAAACCACTTAAGTACAAAGTTACGTTTATGTATGCTCCTGACGGGGAACTCAAATTTAAAGTGCTCCAAAGGTAGTCATGATTTGTACATTTAAAAATCATTATCTATCAATAAATTTGAAATTTAACGGTCCTTTAGGTGTATACATAGGATTAATGTAATACTCTAATTTCTCATGATGATATTCTATTTTGTAACGTTGCAAAATCTGAAACAAAAAATTGTTACATTTTTTTATAAGGTAATGCACATATTGTATAACAAAATAAATTATTATCTTTGATTTTAATACAAAAAGTAAAATTATTTATATAAAAAAATATAAGATTATTTATATAAAATTGTAAATATTTTCTTACAAAAGTGAGAAAGTTCTATTTAATCTTTTCTGAACTAAGTATTAATCTAATACTAAGTAATAAAACACAAAGAAATCTCAAACTTATAAAACTTATCGAAATGATCCAATATAAGTATAACATAAATTTGATTATTATTTTATTAAAAATAAATATTTCAGCACTGTCTCCCAAAAACATTCCAAATGACCTGTCTCTGTTGTTTGAAGATTCACATCAACTTCCTTTTAATGGAACTTTCCTCTTTGCCGAATCGTTAAACAAAAAATAATAAATCTGATACAATAATGGAATAATTTCTAGATCAGATGGACATATATTTTTATATTTTTCCATTGCCTTAATCATCCGTGAAGGAGAATAAATCTGACATGGTGTGTGATTATTACTATCAGAAGTTGCATGTGTTTGTAATAGTTAATGCAGGATATAATAAATACTTTCCTTAGCTTAAATCTTTTCATGAACATACTTTTTATGTAGACTGTTATATACCCACCTATTCGTAAAAAAAATTCTAATTACCGAGTTAATGTAGCATCAAAATAAAAAAAAAGGAAAATAAAAAAAATTATGTGTATGTTTTGTACCATTCAAATAACAGTATGGATGTTCGTGTCCATACAACAGATTAAAATCAGTCTAAAGAGGCATGCTATATCTGGTGATGAAGGTAAGTGGTAGTCGGATTAACCGTTCATTGTTCATGAGCATTCATTGTAACAGTTGACAAACTAACGGAGATTGTAATTAAGGCTAAGTGCTAACCTTTCTGACAACCAACCTGAACTAAATACAAATACAAAATTTAAAAAAAACTTAAATAAACTAAAATTTGCTTTACTGATATGTTCATATTTTCATATGTATTTATATGTATAATGAAGCAATAAGAAGTGAAAATAATGGCGTAGTTACAGACAAAAATATTGTTCTTTGCTAATGGAAAAAAAACACAATAAAAAAGTGGCATTTGGTTGGTTTCAACAATTAAGGTATTTTTTGTCTCATCTAAAGTTGTATGTGTAATCACTCTAAAATATTCTTTAAATTTGTCAAAATATTGTCTTAATTTTAAATATAAGCAGTTGAACTTCTCATTTTTCTGCATTTATTTTTCTTATTAATAGATAATTTCATTTTTTAAATGATTTGAAATTAATAATTGATATTTAATTACAATATTTTTTGCAAACATTGTTGCAAGTTGTTAAAATCTTAATGATGGTATTAAAGAGAGAGAGAGAGAGAAATTCATAGTATTTTCTTTCTCGTTTCTTTCCAGTTGATTATAAATAAGATTTGTTAAAATAAATATTTGCCGCTCTGATGACTTCACAATTCTGCTTTCTACTCTACTCTCTCCTACTTCATTATAATTCCGTGCTAATAAGTGTTTATTTTCTTCTCTTCTATTGTTTCTTTCTGTTCACCAGCTAAATTGTTTGAAGAGATTAATATTTTGAGAGTAGAAAATTATGGGAATGGTACGACCCTGATTTTTTAAAATAAAAGAGTATATTAATTTCTCGTTATTCTGATACCTGCGGTCAAATATTTTTTTAGTCTTTAATTGTAATTATAGCTATGCGTATTTCTCTTTAAAAAAAAGATTAAAGATTGTATTCTTTCGCCTCCACATTACAAGTCTTTAAAATGTTAGCCCCTTCCAAACAATTGAATACATTATAATTTCAATATCGATATCCACAATAGTTTTGGAGAAAACAATTTGCAACAGTTGTAACACTTTAAGTGAGACATCTTATATAATAAAATAATTAATGTATATTAATTACCTTACTAATAACAACGAGCATCTCAAGTTCGGCAAAACGTCGACCAAGGCACATTCTTCTTCCGTAACCGAAAGGAAGTGACGCAAAGTTGTGATACACACCATCATTTTGCAACCATCTTTCTGGAAGAAATTCCTCGCTGCGTGGAAAGTACTTGTCAAGATTACTTATCACGTAATGTTGAAAAACCACCTGTACCTATTAATCAATTTTTATTATAACTATGATAGGATATATTCATTCAATAATATTTTTAACAAAATTGTGAAATTTTTGCAAATAATTATATTCAAATTAATATAAGAAAATTAAATTCAGAAAAAATTCTTTCTTACGCCTTTTGGTACACGATATCCTTTGATCACTGTATCTTTAGTCATGCATCGTCCATTGCCAATAACTACTGGATACATTCTAGTAAAAACAATTATTCTTTTTATTAAATATTGTAAATGTAAAATTGCTTTCTAGTCTAAAGTGCCAAAACTTGTGCCAACTTGTGCCAAGAATAATTTGTGTACTTAAAGGATTTGTCCCAAGAATAATTTGTTTACTTAAAAGATCAAAAGTACTTAAAGGATTTGTCCCAAGAATAATTTATTACTTTAAGAATCTTAAAAGTCATCGCACGTACCTGAGAGTTTCTTTAATGCACGCCTTCAAGTATTTCAGTTTATCCAAGTGATTCCCACTCAGCTGCATGTCTTTATTCGGAAGCACATTGCACACTTCCTCATAAGCAAGATCTTGCTTCTCAGGATGCAAAACTAATTGATACAAAGTTGATGCTACCGCGCTGGAAGTCTTGAAATGATGTTAAAAAACTTAGAAATTCAATAAACTTTGAATTGAATTTGATTCAATTTAATTAAAATTAATAAATTTAATTTAATTATGTACTAATAAAATACAATAATAGTATTTGTTTCGTAACACTGATATTTCAACAAATGATTCTGAGGTACTCACTGTATCAATGCCAACTAAGAATAAATCAAGTGAAAGTATAGTAGCTAACTTAGCGTCGTTTTCTAAAGCCAACACTTTTTGTAGAAGAGACGGTTCCTTGTCTAATTTTTTTACTTCTTTTATCTTTAAAAGAGCGGCTGCTGTGTATTTAGACGTTATGCTGAAAATAATTATTAAAATTAATTTCCATTTATACTTTGTATTTTTATCATTTGTATCTTTTAAAATATAATTGTTTTGCAATTATATTGTTATTTTATTAAAATTTACTTTACGATAGTATCCAGAGCATTCACATATTGTAACCATGTAGGCGTATTAAATAATTTCCAGAATGGAATCTTCAATTCCAGTATTCCCACATTCTTGAAAAATGTTGTAACCGCGTCGATTAATTTCTGAGTTTCCGCATTGGCATCATCATCCAAACAACCCAATCGAACGTCCAATGCTATGCGCGCAATAGCTATAAAAAGTAAACCTTCACTTGAAGGAAAAGAAATTGAATTTTTTAAACCAACGCTACAAGTTATTTGTTACTCACATTCTAGCGACCATTTATGAATTTCGTTTAGAAAATCATCAGGTACCTCATCATCATCGTTTCGTATCTTTTTTATCCTAGAAATTATTATGATCATCTCAACATGCTATACATTACAAACATCCAAATTTACTTTTAATTAAAATATTTAATTAATACACTAGAGTTGTATAGATATATTTATTATAGAGTATTAAGGGAAAGTAATCTCAATAAATTAAAAATATGTTGATAGCTTTGGCTAGGGAAATTTGAGAAAAATTTCAGGATTACAATTGATATAATAAATAAATTAATAAATTTTTTTAAACAAACTAAAACACTATGTGAAATGAAGAGATATTTTTAAAACAGCATCAGTGATTCAACAGTGTCGTAATTTGAATCATGAATATTTTTGAAATTGGTTCATGTTTAGCGTTTACATTACAAATTTTCTGATCTATGTTAGATGTACCTATCAGGAATAGGATACAAGGAATTAGGATAACAAGATAAAGTGAAAGGAACCTTTGAAGAAATGCCAAGCTCGACTCCTCAATAGCGCTAATGTACATTTTCGCTGTTCGTGGTTGTAACATTACTTGTTGCACTTTGCTCCGGAAGTTATACCAACTCTCACCATGTCTGTAACAATCGTTTACGTTAATACAACTGTTATTCTGTGTTTCCCTTTCTTACGGAACTTGCGAAATGTAAATTAGACAGTTAGAAAATTAAAGGAAATTAGATAATCGACATAAATCTAACAGTATATATACATAAACATATATCCAAGAGTCTTGTTGAATTATTTCATTCTTTCAATTATATAAAAGAATTATTATAAAAGTTATTTGTAAATTACAGAAAAATATAAAATGCTTTTGCGAATTAATGTATTAATTAATACATTTTCATAAATGTCATAGCGTCATATTTGTTATAGTTCAATGAAATTGAGATAAAAATAAAATCTACAAGAAAGTAGTGTCAAAGGTTCTGCTCTATTTCTCTTGAATTGATACTGGAAAAATATAATGGACACTTGGAATGATGTCACTGATAAATGTTGATAGAATTGATTTGTTCAACATATAGATCTATATAATTGAAATTGAATTGAATTTATTGTTAGTAGACCAAACCAAAAAATCATACACAAATAAAAAATAAATTTATATGTTAACAATTTGAAAAACCGAATTTTTGAAATATAAAAATAATATACAAATAAAAAGTATTTCTACATATTACAAAGAAATTTAATATGTACATCAAATGGCTTTCACAATCTAAAATTAAAAACATTGCTATAAGATGCCTGCGGTTCTTGTAAAACACTTAAAGTTTTTAATTTAAAACCTCACTAAGTGGATACATTTTTTTCAACAAACGTAATGTACCTTAATAAATCTTAAATAAATAATAAAAAACATAATATCTTAATAAAACGTAATATCTTAATAAATAATAAAAAAACATAATTTTATTTCTGATCTGATTATGAAAGGACATTCAAATTAGTGAATGAAATAATTAGAAATTAAGATATGATTTAAATAATGCAAATCTTCGTCATACACGAATATTAGAAAAGGTACACATCCAATGCAAGAATAAGTGAAAAGTGATAGCGTAACATGCATCAATGTCTGATTACACAAGACTTACTTTCTAACAAATGACATGATGTGTATAGCACGGTTTAGATCTATCCTTATTTAGACAAAACTCTCGACCTGTTTTCTTTTTTCCTACGTATGATCATTTCTGACACGAATACCATTTCCTATTAAGTAAAAGATTGATTGCTCGTTGCATTGTATTTACATGATATGTTGTGCAAATTGTTTTTTCTAGTATCGAATTTCTTTCACAATAGAATAACAAAGAATAATCACATATCATATATATATTTATACAAAATATTTTCTAATTCTAATTATTCAATTAAATACTCTAATTATTTCATTGTTATTTGTTATTATACACACATGTATTGTAACACAATACACAAAATATTGTAACATACGTATACTGACAAAGCTCACGAGTTAAAGCATGTGCAGTTAAAGCATAGTGATACTATAACAGGTTTTCAAACACGCACCGCCTTGACGAAGAGTTCAATATGCACAGCAAATATTTGCGATCGCAATGGTTTACTAAACGAAAGGTTAAGCGATATCACTGAAAGACATAATTTCAATATTTGACCATTATGATGGTTAATAGAATCTGCATACATGTTGGACTTGTAAGAACTCATAGACAATGCAAATATAGAATATTTTCACCTATTCAATATCTGGTATTGAATTTGATGTATTTTATTTTATAATATTGATGCTATTCCTTAATAGAAATAATATTTGTAATATATCAATCACTGTAGAAGCGCCCTTGAAAAATTTTAACGAAACTCCTCATTTTGAAATATTTACTCATAAAAAAACTTTATAAATTGCATAAATTATTAGATTCCCAAAAGTTTTTTTTTCGCTTTATTAATGAATAATGTATGTATAATATTTTATGTTTTACATCACGCTACTGAATTATGTATAATTTATTCTGACCTATTATCTTCCTCCATCTCTTCGGAAGTTCTCTTCCCAAATAAAACACTATCAAATATTTCTAACTGATTAATATTTCCTTCGTTAAAAAATTTCCTTCACACTAAAAAACTTGACTGAATAAATGATATAGAAACGCACCTCGAATGATGTTTCGCTAGCAAAGATAATAAGTCAGAATGTACATAATTTAATGATGTAAAACATAAAATATTGTGCATACATTATTCGACAAAATGATGAAAGAAACTTTTGGGACAATCGAATACATTATTAAATGAACTTTAGGATGTTGAAATATTCAGGAAATATACCTATTTCTTTTTCTTCGATGTTTACCTCTAATTAGCTTATCTCTAATCAGTTAGTTATCTTCATCATTCATTTCAACTCCATCGCAAAGAGAAACTTGTTTCCCTATCATTCAAGATCGAGTTTTCAGTCTTTATTCGAACATGAAGCATCCTTATAAACGGTTCTATAATAATATTTTTCTAAAATATTAAAATCAGAGTGTAATACTTACACGGCGATTACACCAGCGTTATGTCTGAAGAATTCCTTTCTGAATACGTGTTTGTAATAATTTAATGACGGCATCGAAGGTCTATATGGCATTTTCTCCTCTTGTCTAAAGATACGCTCGATTTCATTCGCATCATAGATGAACACCATATCTGGTCTACCTAACAGACTTTCTATTTTGACGATATCCCCATATTCTTTATATAATCTCTTCGATACTTGATCCACTGTCTGAATCTTAAAGTCACCTAAAACGAATTCGTTCCTCCACTTTTAAATTGTATAGAAGTTTATCATAGCAGCACTATAAATACTATGATAGCAATCGACATTGCATTCCGCAACATCGTCGTAATTATACCGTGTGTCAACTTTCTTCCTTCATTACACATTCTGAACATTACAGGCCAAAACGAAATCAGAACTACTTGCATGCATTTGTATGCATATGCATATAGCTGCATAACAATTCGCATAAGAATGGAACAGGTGATTGGCATGGAAATGAATTACAGTGGAAATTCATAAGTCGGGGTGACAATATTGTTCTGATAATCCGAAGAGTTTGGATCATAGTGGCTCAATATCTTTCTCCATATCATACTCTTATTTGTTTAAATAATAGAATGAAAGGATTTTATCAAGTATGATTTCGGATAAACGAAGTTTTACTGTTTAGCGTTACAATCCGATGTTTATTATAATACCGAAAACTTTATTTATCCGAACCCATCGAGAAACGAGCATCCGGCTCGTGTAACTTTTAATAAATAAATTTTCATTTAATCAGGCAAAAGATCCAATAAATGGAGTCCTGTTGATTACGATAAATCGGTGTATACCTATGAACGGTATAAAACGCCACGTATTGCCCAAAAATGGTATTGGTTTGGGTCCAGGGATTTCAGCGTAAGGGCGACAACGCGACCAATCTTGCTCTTCGATTTCCGTCGCCAAGGTTTCTATAGTTCTAATGACGCTGCTCGATCGTTTAACGTTACGTTCTACTAATTTAGTAAATTTATAGCTCGAGACACTCATCCTTAGTCTGCAACACATAGAAAAAATGGTAACAGATTTTTTTTTCGTATTAAAATTTCTACGAACCCCTGCTACTTTCTCTAAATTAATAAATTAATAATACGTAGAAATTAAGAGTGCTTTCGTTTGCATAATCGAGAGGATTACGGATCCGTGCAATTATGGTTGTCCTTTCGAGTGAAACCATGTAACGTAATTGTTTCGTGCCATTTACTCGAAATCGTACGGAGAAGCACGGTGTTCCTTCGAAACCTGCGAAATGTAATCGAACAATGATTTTAGTTTGAATGAATTATAATAAAAAGAAGTATTTAAATAAATTTGTTAAATAAGAGGAACATCTGCGTATATCAGTAACGAGAATCAAACTATTCTAATCAAGAATGCTGCACGGATGTGATCGTAGAGCGGTAAAATTCAACGCATGCGCACTTTACGATTCGCTCATACGACTACTAACGAGTGAAATAGAAAAGAACGAAAGTTAATTTTTAATATTAATTTTTCGCAAAAATTATAAGTTTACAAAACTAAAAAAATAAAAAAAATAAAAAAAAAAAAATTGTAACTTGAATTTTCATCGCTCTGGCTAATTCTACTGTCAATTTTACTTGTATTAGACTCTTTTTTCTATTAGACATTTTTGTATTATATTTCTTTGTTTAGACGTATATGTTAATGTACAAAGATTCTAAATTTCTTAAAATTCGATTCTAAGTAAATAAAAGTTTGTATTGAAAAATTTGTTACTGTGAACTATTATTCTTTCTAAGTAAAACTTCGTTGACGCAAGGACGTCAGGAGAAGCAAGCGATCGTTCAAAATATAATTTAGAATATCAATTTATACCTATTTCGTTCACGTTTGAAATTTCACAACTTCATTACTGTCACTGTCACTAATTTTAACTAATTAAAAACTTCATTCAGATGAATTGTTGCATATTTCAATTAAAAATCAAATTTAAAATGTTTACTTTCTGCACGAGATGTATCAAGCACAACGAACCACTTTTGAATGAGAACACTTTCGATAGAGACAAGTGCGTAAGAGATCCGACCGACTATTAGACATTTTACGAAAATATCAAATAATTAAGATTAAAACAAAGAGAAATTTATTTCATTTTAATCAAACTCATATATGTTACATATGTTTATATAATATAAGTAATATAATTTGACATAATTGATCTTAACATTTTTTTCAATCTTTGAATTGAATCGTTTTTATTTTTTGAAACAATGCTATTGGTCGACAACGATTAGGTATTACTTATTGGTAGAGTTATAAGGTATCACGTGAATGGCGGGAATTATAAATAATACTTTGTTTCCTTCACACGTATTGGAATGCTATAACATTTATTTTTTAAGTTTTTTGTTATTTATTATAAGAAAATAAATAAACTTTAATAGTGTATGAGTATACAATTAAAAAATGTGAAGATAATTTTATAATAAAAAAACTGTAATATTTACTCGTTTTATTTTTTTTCATAGTGTATACACAAAAATTATTTTTCTACGACGATTTTTATTCTACGACGATTCATACCATTTAGATTTTCTCAATTCTATCGATTTTAATTTATCTTTGTATTTATTTACAAGTTTTTCTAAATTCACATCATCGTGATTTAGTTTCGTCCTTTGTTTTGGCTGCAAAGAAAATAGTCCCAATTTAAAAATATAAATAATTATTATTATATACAATTTTACAAATTAAAAAGATGCTTACTTTAACTTCATTTTTACTAGTAATTTTTTGTTTTCTTTTCATTTCTAATTTTTTAGAAGACTTTTTGATTTTTTTCTCTTCCTTTACTGTTCGACTGTGCACCATTGCCTGAGTTCTTAAATTATATTTCGATCGCAATTTATTTTCACCAGGTTTTCCAACCGTACCACTGTACGGTTTTAAGTTAGATTTGTCTACACTCTCAATTTTTAACCGTTTAGTTGTAACTTTTTCATTCGTATCTTCCATTTTCCTTTTCAGTTTATTTCCCGACCAAAGAGGATTATTTTCCCGACTTTTTTGAAGTCTTTTCTGTTTAGCATTCACCATAATTCGATTTTCTATTGAGAAGGATACGATTGGTCTCTACATAAATAAAAATATAAGATAATATAGCAGCATAATTTTCGAAACAAATAATACAAAAAAGTTATAATTAAGAAAATTATAATTTTCAAATATACCCTTTTTGAAGTGAATATATTTGGATTATTATTCACATTTCTTAAAGTTTCAAGCGCGTCTTCATGCTTTGTAAATGAAATGAATCCATATTCTTTCGATTTTCCCACTCCTTTAATATCCACATTTTTTAAATTTCGCATAACGCGTGCCTTTATAACGTAAATTTTAAGTATTTTTTAATATAAATTTGTTCGACATTAAACATTTAAATTGAAACTATAAAATACCTCTCGTATAACCGCCGTAGAAGGACTATGATGTTCAAAAATTTTTCTGAATTTATCATCGTTCAGCGTAAGTGGTAAATTATGAACAACGAGTCGTACTCTTGATACAAACATATTTAAATTTCGCAAGATCTGTGATTTCCATTGTTCTATTTGTAACCGTTTTGCCATATCTGCCACTGAAACTCCAATTGAAGCTGGACTTCCGGCTAATACAACTAAAACATTATATATTAAAATAACTACAACATTGTAGATTTACTATAGCATACTAAGATTTCTTATTTTCTTTTTTTTTTAATTTTGCATCATATGCAAAATATACATGCAAATATATTACCTCCTTCTTTTACAAGATACAAATTTCTAGAATCCTTTTGTTTATATTGTTTTGAATTTGCCTTATTTTCGATTTCATTTCTATCTAATGCTCTGTGTGCTTCAAGTATTTGATCTTCTATTTGCAATTCATTTCCTGCTGACAAACACTTTTCTGCACTTTCAGCATTCTAGTATTTAAAAACAAGTATTTATAAAAAATTTAAATTCTTTTGTAAGAAAGATAAAATATATTTTTAAAAAATTTACCTTAAATTTAACAAATGCTGTACCCTTTGAAAATTCTGTTAATGGATCTATGCATACAAGAGCATAATAAACAGGTCCAAATCGTTCCATATATTGTTTTAACTCATCATTTTTCACAGAAAATGGTACATTTTTTAGAAATACAGTCTTTCCTTCAGAAACATCATGAGATTCGAAACGTGGTTTTATTTTTTTTGTAACTATTTTTTCTTGTTCTTCGTTTTCATATTGATTATCATCTTCGATTACTTCACTTTCATTTTCTGTTTCAATTTCAACTTTATCTGAATCATCATTATCAAATTCAACATTTTCTGTGATAATATCGAATTTTTCATCACTGGAATTACACTTTGTTTAATTATATTTTATTTAATTCAACTATTAAAACTATTAAAATTATTAAAACATTTAAAAAATTACAGAATAACAAAAAACATAATAAATTTACAGAATTACATTTTAACTTATTATATTTAAATTTAACATTTACACAAACAAAAAACGTAAATTTACTTACCTATCTATCTCTCCGTTTGAGATTAATTGCTTTGCGTTATCTGTATCTTCTGTATCACTTTCTTTTTCCACTTTTATTTTTATTTCACCTTCCTGTACATTTGTAGAATTATTTTGAACAAACTTACTTTTTGGTATAGCCCAATCAACTACAATAGGTCTACCGAGAAGTGGTTGCAAATTTGCATGATATATAGCTTTAGCTGCACTTTGTACATTTCTAAATTCTAAAAATGCACATCCCACATTTTTGCCGTCACTTCTCTTCAAAATTTTGATTTCCTCTATTGGTCCATATAGGGAAAAATGTTTTCTCAAATCTTCTTCATTTATCTACAATTATAATGAAAAATTTAGAAAGCAAAATCAATGTAAGTTTATACCACTGTCTTACCTGAAATGATAAATTTCTTATTACAATCCTTGCTCTCTTTTTTCTAGTTCTTTCCTTCAACAATTTCCTCTTTTCTTTTTTCATTTCTAACAATATTTTTTGTTTAGATGGATCTTCTTGATTCTTCTGTTTGATTTGTTTATTTTCTTCATGTCTTTCATCTTTATTTTTTCCTTTATCTTTACTTGCATCATGTTCATTATCTAAGTTTTCTACATTTTCTAACTCTTTTTTCAATTTTTCACAAAATTTTGATTTTGAAACAGCCCAACTACTATTTATTATTCTACCTAAAGATATATTTTCAATATATTGTTAATAACACAGTATTACTTAAATCAATAATAATCGTATTTAATTATTTATAATAATTATATTTAATTTTTGTTACAACAGTACCAAGAAATTCCTTCTTATTTGTATTAAATATTGCTCTTGAGGCATCTTCTAATTGTTTAAATTGTATAAAACAACACCCAATTAGCGAACCATCTGCACGTTTTGGAAAGTTTATCTCTAATATTTCACCAAATGGTTCATATAATTTTTTTATATCGTCTGGAGTTGCCTAATGACATAAATGAATAACCATAAACTTTCTTAATGAAAAAATGTATTTCTTATCCTAACAAGAAATGTACCAACCTTGAACGATACATTACGAACAATAATCCTAGGTTTCTTATTATCATCCGTATTGTCATCAACCTCTTTTATCGATTCCTTTGATTTTCGTAATTTCGTCTTCTTTCTATATATCCAAGAAAGTTTCTTCTTTTCAGTTCTATTGCCTGTTTCATTGAAAATATTAATTACACATCTTGAATCACAATCTCATTGAAAATTTAACATGTACATTACGTGCCTGTATTCCTCATTTCGGATATCTATGTCCAATATATATAATAGATAAAATTTTTACAATAAAGTTTGTAATACGTAAAACTTTCTAGAAATTTTAAAATACTCGCTTTATTAAAATAACATATCATACATCAATGTTTTATAGGTTAGATTTATTTATAGGTTAGAAACTTCACATGTCAGAATATGTACTCGCAGATAGAGCTTTAAAGTTTAAAAAAGTTTGAAATAAGAGCCAAATACATACTAGGGTACCTTATATTCCCCTAGAACACGCGATAAATATTCTACGTAATAATCTTTTTTTTTTAACTCATAAAAATAGTTTTCAATTTAGCATTAAATATCAATGAAATTAAATTGAACGACGTAAATATAGTTCTGATTTGAATAAAGTGTTCAAAGGAGTTTACGAAGTTGTCAACTTTTTCATAGCAAAATGACACATGATTGGACGGTTCTTACGAAGTTACGAAACATTATTTGCAACTTCCACGCAGGTATTCCAAAATATACAAATCGAAACGAAATTACGCAAGGTAGTCTCATTAAAATATACGATCAATTGTCAATATATGACAATAAACGTGGCTATATTCTGTTAAACTAATACAAATATCACTACATATTTACAAATCGCCATATAACGTGGGCAATAAAGCACTCGTATATTTGAAAGCAACATCAATAAATTAAGATTCTACTACATCTGAAATTACGATTTCGTTCGTCTGAAGATCGTAATTAGCGAATAAAAGGTTACAACTCCTCGGTATTGGTAACTGAAGTTATTTACGAAGAGACAAATTAATCGAGAAATTAACGTACGAAAGAAGTTAATATACAAATAGTACACCCATACAACAATAAGATATACAGGTAATACATGTGTGATCCATCTTCGTCAGATCGGCGGTGTGAAACTTATCTGTGGAATGGTTTCAAATCGGACGGAAGTGGAATCGATATCCCGGAATTCGATAGTAGCGAAAGTATGGCCGAAAGCGGATTTTCATTTCTGCTAAAGACAAAACAGCAAACAACACAGTGAAAAGCCTGTTATTATGACTGAGTTAAAAGTACTTTATTGCATCTTCTTGTTAACATTTTTCGAGTTGACGTCACAAATTCGACCGTCCTTACATGGGCACAATAACGGTGAGCATGTATTTATACCGTTTCAATTATTCTTGTTTTGTCACAATAATATAACACCTCAAATAACGTTGCAGCACTACTATATATATGCAATCAGCTATTCGCTCTAAACTTAATTTATTACGTTAATATTAGTGTCTCGTGCTTTGTGAAAATCGATCAATCTTCTTTTTTTCAAAAAACATTCAAAGACTTTCACTTGCTTGTTACGAAGATGCTGTATACACTGTGTTAATTGATAATTTCCTTTTTTTATTTCTTTTTTAAAATGTAAATTAATTCGTATGTTTCTGCAAATACGAAATTTTGTTTTTTTTTTATCGTAGCTACGTTGTTAATTGTAGCGACAAAGATTTGCAACATTTATAGTATCACGTAGCAAACGAAATGCAGCATTGATATTATGAATCAAGAGATGAGCAAAATTTTATATCACACGTACAAAAAAGTTTTAACAATAAAGAAATACAATGTGTATACAACTTTTATAATATGTATATAATGTTTTGTATTAATGGTACGAATGAATGAGTTCACTTTCTAATTTGTAATTGATTTCCGATTGTAACAAGTGAAACTATTACCGCATAAAAGATTTTTATGTGATTGGCAACGAGCAATGGTTTTTAATTATTGCTTTTATATTGTTTACATTTTATAATTGTTGTTAAATAATCCATGTAAAAGTATTAGTAAATTTATTTAAAACTTTTATCCAATTGAAAATATTTTATAGCCTTCGTACAGGATGACAACGATGTTCAATATCTTTTGGACAACATACCAATGTCTATGCATAAGGTTAGTTGCAGTTTTCTCTTTATTCAGATTGTATTATTTTATATTAAATTAAAAAGAAAAGAAATTAAAAGTTTTACAGTATATTTAAGTAAATATAGTGTAAATAAACGCATTTACGATATCATATAATAAAAACATTTAACGTAACATGTATCATATTCTTTGATATAAGTAGGTAGACGTAAAAAAGATTGGAAAATATTAAGAATTTAATATAATGACTATC